CCGCACAGTCAGGAGGAGCGACTTTCCCGAGGGTGCCCTTGCATGCTTGACTCCTCGGCCCATCCTTGGCCACTTTCGCTGGCCGCACCCCGCTCGAAAACCTTCGGAATGGGCGTCCAAGGCCCTTGCATCCTTGCCGCGCATCCTCACGATGCGGGCCGACTAAGTGTGTGTGTGTGTGTGCGCGCGAGTGTGTGTGTGTGTGTGTGTGTGTGTGTGTGTGCGTGTGCGTGTGCGTGTGCGTGTGCGTGTGCGTGCGTGCGTGCGTGTGTGCGTGCGTGCGTGCGTGCGTGTGTGTGTGTGTGTGTGTGTGTGTGTGCGTGTGTGTGTGTGTGTGTGTGCGTCGACAATCCCGGGGGCGACGCGCGCGCTACGAACTCATGTAGCATATCTGTGTATAGATATATGTGTATGTGTATATATATATATATAGATATACACATGTACAGATAAGTGTATATATATATATATACTCGGTGGCGGGAGCTTTCTGGCCTGGGGTACCAGTGCGCTGCAAGTTGTCTGTGCTGCTTGCTCGGGTCTGACCTGCGCCTCCAGTCAGGAGCGAAAGAGGGACGTACACGCACATGAATCCACGGTGGTTTCGAGATTACGCATTGCGCGAACTTTCGTATCATTCGGCTGGTATCGCGGACTGGGGGGCCGTGTTCATGTATTTGGTTGGGCGCGCACGTGATGTGTAGGCTCCCTATCCAGGGGGCGTATAGCATTCATTTTCTTTTGAAGAAAAAAAGGGAAAGGCTTCTGGCGCGTACCAGTCGTTGCCCAGCCCCTCCCTCCCTCCCCCCCCCCCTCCCCCAGGTATAACGGAAACGATCGTGCGGTTAGGGGGGTGTTCTCGCACGCAAATCATGGCGATTGCAGCGCATCCCCGCCCCGCACCCCGCCCAAGCGTTGCCGTTACTTCCGCCCCTCTCCCTGGGTCACGACATTTCCGAACATGACAAGAACGTCTTAGCCAGCGTGGGCCCGAAGCAGTTGTGCAGTATAGGTGGTGCAATCTAGGTCGTGCAATCTAGGTGGTGCAATCTGTGCGGTGTTGCCTACGCGGTGCAAATATCAATGCAACGCAGCGCAACGCGAGGCAAAGCAATGCGCTATCAGAAGACAAGAAGAACCCCTAAGTGAAAACATTGTTTGGGGAGCAATTTCTCTAGGCATGCGAGTCCGGGTTTTGTCAATGCGGGGCCCCCAGACGTCCCGACCCTTTCCCCAGGACCGGTTTTTCATCCTGGATCGTGTTTTGACTGTCCCAGGGCCCGGCGAGGGCCCCCAGAGGCTGAAACTATGACACAGCTGTCCGTCGAGATGTTTTCAGGACGCCATCATGTCTGGGTCAATGTCCTTCTACGCCCCATTGACTCAGGGGCGCGGCGCCCCTCCCGGCACAGGTCGGAGCTCTTCGCCGGGGGCAGGATGTTCGCAGGGGCCTCGGCCAGCGGGCCGCGGGGCGGCGAGTCGCCCTGGTCTTCGCCGTTGTCGTCGTCCGGGGCGGAGGAGCAGAACGCGGGCAGGATTTATGTCCATATCCACTCCTTTCAGAGCTTGCCTCTGTAGGGGTCCTAGTGGAATCATATGGTTAGGTTAGGTTTGCCGCCGATTTCCGCCGCACGCCCAGGTGCCCAGGTGCCCGGGGGTGCCCGGGTGCCTTGGTGCCCGGGTGCCCGGGTGCTCGGGTGCCCGGGCGTGCCCGGGGGTGCCCGGGTGCCCAGGGGTGCCCTATAGCCCTCTGGCCCACTAGCCTAATAGCCCATATAGCCCATATAACCCTGTAGCCCTATATCCCTATAGCCCAATAGCCCTATAGCCCTACAGCCCTATAGCCCTACAGCCCTAGACAAATTATGATTGGGTTTTTTTCCCTGGTATCATGTCCATATCCACTGCGTCTCGGACTTTCCGGGAAAGGGCGCCCAAAGGCCCTGGATATGCATAAACATCTAGCCTCTGGGGGCCAGGTTCTTATCCGTATCCACTGCGCCTCGGGTGTCTGGGCAAGGGGGCCGACTTTGAGATGCAGTGGGTAACCCGAGTTTCTTAATGACGGGGGGGCGTCCCCCCCGCCGACAGCCCCACGTCGACCCCCGTCGCGGGCAGCCACCGCGCGCCGAACGCGCTCCGACCCCCGTCGTGGCGCGACGAGGCGAGGCTTACCCACGTCGGGGGGGTACCCCCCCACGCTTATCGAGAAGCCCAGAGTATGGATTTACATCTTGCCCGCACAGGAGGAGCAGCGGCTCCGTCGGAGCGGGACTGGCTCTCGGGTGTTTTGTTCGAGGCGCTTGCGCGTTGCTTCTCGGCGCGTTTCCCTGGCCTTTGGATGCCCTCAGGCAGCTGCGCCCCGCCGAGGGCGTTCGGGGGTCGCCTGGACCGCCCCGAACGGCCGCTGGAGACCGGGGATGTGATTAAGTCGGGCAGGAGGAGTATTCAAAAATAGTAGAAAATAGTTTGGGCACGATTTTTGCACTATTTTGGCCGAGTTCGGTTATTTTTTGATATTTTTTGTTTTTTTTCCACCAAAATCCGCCTGTGGGAGGACATGTCCGACCTAAAGATGTGACCTGGAAACCAAGGGGCAACGCTAAGGGGGGGATAGGCTCCTCGGGACATGCGTGGGCCCCCAATGGCCCAGTCGTCGGCGCCGGGAGGCTTATTGCTGACCTGTTGGGTATCGGAAATGTATCGCCGGTTTCAGTTCGAAGATTCCCCCCCCCGCTGAGCCTGTCCCCCCCCCCCCCCCGTCGTCCCCCCTCAGCATGAGCGGCCAGGGATCGGGGATTTCTCCATCAGCACCGCTTGGGGAGGGGGGGGCGACCTTCGGGGACCACCTCGGCGGGCGGTGACCCTTTCGGTAGCAAGTCATGGGCGGTGATGCGTAATTGTCGGGTAGTAAAAAACGCGTACAGGCTGGCCCTATGGGCTGGCCTGTGACAGCCTATGTAGATACAGGCTTGCAGAAGTCGAGGCAAATGGGCATGTGAACAAAATTGGGGAAGGGGAGGGGGGGAGGAGGGGGGGGGGGGGGGGAGGGGGGGGGGGAGGGAAGGGGGGGGGAGGGGAGGGGAGGGGGGGGGGAGGAGGGAGGGGGGGGGGGGGGGGGGGGGGAGGGAGCGGGGAGGGGGGGGGGGGGCGGGGAGGGGAGGGGGGGCGGCCGTCGGAGCGCGCGTGTGCAGGCGCGTCCCGGGGCGCCCCGCGGCGCCCGAGAGCGGGGCGCCCCGCCCCCGAGCGCCCGCGTCGCCCGCGCCCGCGGCGCCCGCGGGCCGAGGTCGGCACCGCGCTGACCTCGCTGGTGGTGAACACCTTCTGACGGGCGCGCTTTCCAGCACCACCACCCGAAGTTGGAGGGGGAGGGGGTCCTCCTCCTCTTCCTCCCTACCTCCTCCTCTCCTCCTCCTCCTCCCTCTCCTCCTCCTCCTCCTCCTCGTCCTCCTCCTCCTCCTCCTCGTCCTCCTCCTCCTGCTCCTCCTCGTCCTCCTCCTCCTCCTGCTCCTCCTCCTCCTCGTCCTCCTCGTCCTCCTCCTCCTCGTCCTCCTCCTCTCCTCCTCATCCTTCCCCCCATTCAACTCATGGTGGTGGTGGTGGTGGGAAACGCGCCCATCACCTTCTACAACCCGTCCCTCCACGAGCTGGTGATGACCATTCGGGGGACGTCCACTGACCACCCAGATGTCCAAGGATGGTGGTGGCGTCAGCCCAGAGGTGCTCGCGTCTCGGAGGCAGTCTCGACGGGCGTGTCTTGGCCGGTTTTTTGGCCCCTGGGGGCCTTCGCTGGGCCCCAGGACCGTCAACAGCCGGCTCGGGATGCATAAGCCAGCCTTCGGGGACAAGGTCGCGACTCCTGGGGACCTCGTACTGAAAGAACGAGACGTCAGATGTTTGGGAACGGACCACCTCACTCGGTAGCAAGTCATGGGGGCCTGGCGTACCCCGTTGATCCCGTCTCTAGCTTCGACTAGCGTCAATTCGCCTCTGGGAGTCGATGAGGTAGCGCCGATTTAGCGTCGGCTAGCGTCGATTCGCGCCGATTGAGCGTTGATTCAGCGTCGACAAGCGTCGATTCAGCGTCGATTCGCAAGAGCCGACGCGATGGCATGGGGAGGCTCCCAATGAGCTGCCACCGAACCTCACCGATCCTGGATGGGCCTTCGGGGCAGCGCAGGCACGGACGACGGCGCGAGGAGCAGCGACCGGGGCCCGCCTCCGCGCGGACTCGGCGCCCTCCGTCGCCAAGTAGTCGAGCGGCGTTCAACGCCGCTCGACTACGGCGTTCAACGCCGCTCGACTACGGCGTTGAACGCCGTCGAACGGCGTTCAACGCGTTGAACGCCGTCCAACGGCGTTCAACGCCGTTCCACGGCGCCCCGAAAGCACGAGGCCAACGCCGGGCGTGGGCCTCGTGCTTTCGGGGCGCCCCGCCCCCGCTCCGTGGACCGGGGGCGCCCGCGCGCCAGATCCACGGGTCCGTGATCCGTGCTCGGCGGCGAGCGGGGGGGGGGGAAGTGACAAGGAGGAGGCCCTCTCAGAGGGCGGCGGGGCTTCGCAGAAGCCCTCGCGCCTTCTGAGGAGTGTTGTCTTCGGGGAAGGCGTCGAAAACTTCTCAGAAGGCCGTGGGACTTCCGAGCCTTCTGAGAAGGCCCGCCCCTTCTCACTTCCCCCTCGGGCGCGCCGCCTACATGTTGCGGTCGGGTTTTTTAGATAACGTGTTGCTACTCCGGTTCTGGCCCACCACGCTTCGACACGCGGTCCACTTCCCGGTCCCCAGGCGTCCACGTCCCGCGCGTTTCCCAGCCTCCCGCCACCTGCGGAGAGGAGCGACGCGCCATCCACTTGCAAGGCACAGCGTGTCGCCAGGGCCCCCGCCGCGACGTGCTGTCCAAAAGTTCATGACCGCAGAGCGCAGGGTCGGTGTCCACGCCCCCTTGCGCCCAGGATCGGCCAGGCCAGGATCGGTGAGGTGGTCTGCTGACGTCCCCCGAGCCATGCTCAAGTGCCAGATATGCACCGTCAACGTGCCGAAGAACTGGATTGGGAGGCGCCGCGCCTTCTTCGCCTCTGCTTCCGTCCACCCGCCCTGGCAGGGGGGGATCAGGTATCGGTGCCGCTACCCTTCCCACGTCGCCATGGCTTAATTCGCTTCGAAATCCTTGTCAGAAAGTTCCCCCGGAGAGGTCCAGGGAGCAGCGGTATCGTTATTCAGTTGCGTTGCCGTGCGTATCCGCCACAGCGCTTGGGGAAGCTGTTCAGCCAGGCCTCAGCGATGCGCGGGCGTGGCGTTCTATTGTTCGAGCTGGCTTGTTGTCTCCTCAGCCTGGTCGGCTTAATGAACCCGCTTCGCGGAAGGCCACGGCGGCCCGCCCTTAGGGAAATTAGCTCGCAAATCTCGCGGCCATGGATGAAGGGAAGGAGGAGGCAGACAAACACAACGAATTTTCGTTAGGGGTTGGCTGCTGTTTGCGGTTCAGTTGGATTCTAGGGTGTCCGTCTATACGTCGTTGCAGGTGGACAGGCAAAAGGCATCACAACCCGTTGCCTTTGTCGACGTTGTGTGCTGCGTGTGTCCAAGCCCTCATCGTGCCTCTTGGGGGCCTCCTGGGGGCTTGTTGGGGGCGTCTCGGGGGTCTTGTGGGGCTGTCTTGGGGCCCTCTTGGGGGCCTCTGCATCTTGTGGCTTCTTTGTGGTCTCTTGGGGCCTTTTGGGGGCCTCTTGGGGGCCTCCTGGATCTTCTTGGGGTGCCATTTGTCCGCTGGGGGGCCTCCTGAGCCGTCTTGGGGGCGATCTTTGGGGCCGTCTTGGACGCTACCACCACCAAAAAAGGTGACAATGCTAACTTCTGCGAATATTTCTTTTGTGTGGGGGGGGTGGGGGATGGCGTCTCTCGGAGGCGTCCTGGCAGGCCTCGTGCGCCTTCTCGGTGGCCTCTTGGGGCCGTCTTAGAGCCATCGGTGCCTTCTCTGAGGCTGCGCTGGGCCGTCGTGAATGCCGTCGAGGCCGTCTCGATCGCCCACCCGCGGCCGGTTCATCCCGAGCCGGTGCTGGGCCCCCCTGCCAGGCGCGCGGAGCGCTTCAGGGGCGTCACCGTAGGTGCCGCCAGGGGGGCCCAGCGCAAATCCAAGAAGTCCGAGCGGACTGTCGAAAGTTTGTGTTTGTGCAGCTGTTTTTCTTCAAGTCCCAGGGCCATCTTTTCCGACTCGGACGCCATGTTGGCCGTCTTGGAGTCTACCCGGGGCACAGTTTTTTTAATCTCTTTTGGGAAGCCTTCGCTCAAACTACGCGTAAGAGTGACCCTTCGCTGGAGTGACCTTTGCTGCGGGCCCACTGGGGTCCCCCGATCGCCGCACGCGTTGCGGTAGCAGCGTCCTGCGCGCTTGTGTTTGGTTTCCCCCGCGGCCCCCCAAAAAGCGCGCACCAGAGGTGACTCTTGCCCAGGGTCGCTCTTGCGTGAAGTCGACTCGCGGGGCAGCCGTGGTGGCGGGGCAGGGGGGCGCAGCGGCCAGGCGAGGGCCCCTGGGGGCGAGTGGGGTCCCTGCAGCGTGCCAGCCTGGAACTTTGCTTTTGGGACCATCTCTGCCGAGGAGGCAGACATCGCAGGGACTTGACGCAACAAGCGAGTTCGTGTTAGGCTACATGCGTCGGGTTGCCTTAGCTGTTGTTTCGCAAGAAGCGTCAGTGACAAAGAACAAGGGCCCGACAAACACAGACACAGACACACACAAAACACACAACACACTACACACAACACACGACATACAACACAGCACACACAAACACACACACACACGCACACACACACACACACGCGCACATAACACACAACACACAACACACACAACACACAGTACACAACACACCAACACACACAACACACACACACACGTTTTTGCGTCGGCGGCTGGGCAGAAGGCGAGTGCTCCGGCGGACAGGCAACAGAACACACACACGGACACGCACACGCACGCGGACACGCACACGCAACCGCACACGCACACGCACACGCACACGCGCACGCACACGCACACGCACACGCACACGCAAATGCACACGCACACGCACACACACACACACGCACGCGCACATGCACACTTACACGCACACGCACACGCACACGCACATGCAAACGCACACGCACACGCTCCCGCGCCCGCGCCCGCGCCCGCGCACGCGCCCGCGCACGCGCAAGCGCACGCGCACACGCACGCGCACGCGCACGCGTACGCACGCGCACGCACGCACGCACGCACGCGCACGCGCAAACGCACGTGCACGCACACAGTCACGGGAACGCGCACGCGCACGCGAACGCGCACGCGCGCGCGCGCGGGCGCGTGCACACGCGCGAACGCACGCACGCACGCACGCACGCACGGCACACGCGCACGCACGCACGACGCACACACACGCACCACACACAACACCACACACGCACGCAACGCACACGCACACGCACACACGCACACACACGCACACGCCGCACACGCACACGCACACCGCACACGCACACAAACACCCACGCACCCACCGCACCACGCACGCACAAGTCCGCACACGCACACACACCACGCACGCGCACACGCACACGCATACGCACGCACACGCACGCACACGCACGCACACGCAAACGCACGCACTCACACGCACGCACACACGGACACTCACACACCCTCACACGCAAAC